CCAGCCAGGGACAAAAGCCCCAGAGGAGCTCCTCTCCTGCAGGGCGACGAGCTCCTCTGGGGCTTTTGTCCCTGGCTGGACTTGATGGTTATCTTGATCCCGGGAGAGAGTCCGCCGGCTCGGCAAGGGTAATGGCATTTCCACGGCTGCGGGGAAGACGCATCTCCTCACGTGGTCGAGGCCCTCAGGGACCCAAAGTGGAACGGCGGCGAAAACCGTTGACGAGCCGCCACAGGACCCAGGCACGGAGGCAGAAAGAGGCTCAGCGGAGCCAGGCCGACACGCAAGAAGTCGCTTTCGGGCGCACAGGGCGCGTTCGTTCGACCGAACACACACACACACGCACACGGGCACACGCACACACACAAACCGGCAGAAAGAGGGAACGACGCAGAGAGTGAGGGCCAGAGAGAGAAGAGAGAATGGGAGAGACAGGGACACAGGCAGTCACGCAGCAGCGATAATAAAACCAAAGCATGATAAAGGATACTAAGGATACAACAAAATTACATTAAGTATACTGATAAAAGAAAAGTAGGCTATTAGAAACATAATGGAAAGGCTGGCTTATCAAGTCAGTGTCAATCGTAGAACTTGGAAGGCTGAGGTGGGTGGATCACTTGAGCTCACTTAGTTTAAGAACAGCCTGGCAAACATGGTGAAACCCCATCTCTACAAAAAATACAAAATTCAGGTGGGGTGTGGTAGCTCACACCTGTAATCCCAGCAATTGGGAGGCTGAAGTAGAATCGACTGGAAGTCAGGAGTTTGAGACCAGCCTGGCTAATATGGCGAAACCCTGTCTCTGCTAAAATAGAAAATTAGCTGGGCATGGTGGTGCACTTGTAATTCCAGCTATTCAGGAGGCTGAGACTGGAGAATCGCTTGAACCTAGGAGGCAGAGGTTGTGGTGAGCTGAGATCGTGCCTGCACTCCAGCCTGGGTGACAGAGGTAGACACTCATCTCAAAAAAAAAAAAAAAAAAAAATTCAGCTGGGTGTGGTGATGTGTGCCTGTAGTCCCATATACTTGGGAGACTGAGTCAGGAGCATTGATTGAACCCAGGAGATGGAGGTTGCAGTGAGCCGAGATCACACCACTGTACTGCAGCCTGGGTGACAGTGCCAGATCCTGTCTCAAAAAAAAAAAAAGAAAGAAAGAAAGAAGTGAGGCCGGGCGTGGTGGCTTACACCTGTAATCTCAGCACTTTGGGAGGCCGAGGCAGGTGGATCACCTGAGGTCAGGTTTCAAGACCAACTTGGCCAACATGGTGAAACCTCGTCTCTACTAAAAATACAAAAATTAGCTGGGCGTGATGGCAGGCACCTGTAATCCGGGTTACCTGGCAGGTTGAGGTAGGATAATTGCTTGAATCCAGGAGATGGAGGTTGCAGTGAGCTGAGATTGCGCCATTGCACTCCAGCCTGGCATCAGAGCGAGACTTCGTCTCAAAATCCAAAAAGAAAAAAGAAAAGAAAACATGATGGGGAAAAAGATATGATAGCTATCTGATTCTCTCAACAATGTAATAAGCAGATGTTATAAATCCTATGCTGTCATGAGTCTATATGACGTGGGGTTGGGAACGTAGTACCCTACCCTAAGTCAGGTTATTCCTACTATTCTGCAACATGTAAATAGCACTTTTAACAGAGCAAGTGGTAAAGATTGCTTAATTTTTGCATGACTATTTTGATAATTATGTTGAGAAGGACCAGCTTAAAGGAAAACCTCTCAGTAACTTGGCATAAAGTTAAATGTTTCTAAAGAAGTGTTCATTCCAAAAGTTTGGCTTTCCTCAAATCAATTAAGGGCATTTTAAATTTACAGATTTAATGAATCAAAATCTGAAAAAGATTTGTATTTTTAAAGCCAGTAGTTTCATTTATGTCACTTAAAATATTCAGAGCATAAGTAGTTTTTTAATACAAATAAGCATAGCTGTATTATTCATTATAAGTGCTATATACCATCACAGCCTACCTTCTTCTGACTTGGGATTTTTTCATTCAATAAAATGCACAGATCTTAGGTATTCAATTTGAAGAGTTTTTACAATTCTATACACCTGCCTTAACCGTCTGAAACAAGGTACAGTTATCCTCTAGTATCTGTGAGGGATTGGAAGTCACAGGACCTCCATAAATCCCCTAACCAGATAAGCCAAGTCCCTTATATAAAATGGTGGCCCGGGCGGAGTGGCTCACAGCTGTAATCCCAGCACTTTGCCAGGCCGAGGCAGGCAGATCACTTGAGGTCAGGAGTTCGAGGACCAGCAGCCTGGCCAGCATGGTGAAACCTCATCTCTATTAAAATACAAAATTAACTGGGCGTGTGGTGGCAGGCACCTGTAATCCCAGCTACTCCAGGAAGTTGAGGCAGGAAAATTGCTTGAACCTGAGAGGCGGAGGTTGCAGTGAGCTGAGATCGCACCATTGCACTCCCAGCCTGGGGGAAGGCAGAGCAGACTTCATCTCAAAAAAAAAAAAGAAAAAAATCAGGAGTTCAAGACTAGCCTGGCCAACATGGTGAAACCCTGTCTCTACTAAAAATATAAAAATTAGCTGAGTATGGCGCATACCCGTAGTCCCAGCTTACTCAGAGGCTGAGGGGCAGGAGAATCACTTGAACCTAGAGGCAGAGGCTGCAGTGAGCCAAGATCGTGCCACTGTACCCAGCGTGGGCAACACACCGACCCTGTCTTTGAAAAGAATTGAAAATGTTATCAACAAGATGAAAGATAATGTAAGTGTTGGCAAAAAGGGGAACTCTTACACATTGTTGGTGATAACCTAAATTATGGCCATTTTGGAAAATGGTATGAAGGTTCTCAAAACTAAAAATAGAATCAAGCATATGATCCAGTAATTCCACTTCTGGGTACATATTTAAAGGAACTGAAATTCATATGTTAGCGATTCGCACTCCATGTTCATTGCAATATTTATTCCATAATAGGCTAAGTCACGGAATCAACCTAAGTGCATATCAGTGGATGAGTGGATAAGGAAAATGTAGCATATATACACAATGGAATACCATTCAGCCTAAAAGGAAAAATCCTGTTGTCATTTGGTAAGAATACGCATGAATCTGGAGGATTATGCCAAGAGATAAGGCAAGCATAGAAAGACAGATGGTCACATGATCTCGCTTTTATGTGGAGTCTAGAAAAATAAAGTTGAACTCATAGAATAGAGGTAGAGAGTAGAGTGGTGGTTACTAGAGGTTAGGGACAGAGAGAAATGGGAGCACAGATCAAAATGTACAAATTTGTGAAAGATAGGAGGAACGGGTTTTGAGATATTTTGCATAGCCAGTTGACTATAGTTGACAATAGTGTATTGAATATTTTGAAATAACTAAAAGTAAATCTCAAATATCTCACCATAAAAAATGATGCATAAAGAAGGTGATGGATATGTTAGATTGATTTAATTCAATATGTTGAATACATATATCAGTATATCACACATGTATCTATAATGATACAATTATGATTTGTCAATCAAAACATTAACATTTTTTTAAAGGAATTGAAAATAGGTATCG